GATATTAATACTGTTCATTTGTTTACAGGGAGCATACAGAATGTCCTGTGACAGGATGTAGCTGTCACTGTATGAATTTAGACTCTGTTGCCATGGCAATGCCAAACAGTGATGTCCTTCTATCGGCATGACATAGGGAATTTAACAAATTACTATTATAATTTTGTAATAGAAATTGATTTTAGTTTCAGCTGATAGACCATCCACTTAACAGACCTTTTTATTTTATTTAGTTGTTTCCTCATTGTTTGCCTGAAAACTGAGAACATTGGTGTTGCATTCACACCATTACTAGCACATACTGTCTGATTAAAAAATTGCTCATGTCTGACAAAATCCTATCAGTGGTCAGATGATGACCTGGACAGATCAAAACTGAAGACTACCTTATTCTCACTTAATTTTGCGAAATCTAATACTTGCAAAGATTAAAATCGCAAAACTTAATAACCAGACATTTATGTGTGAGCGGCAAAATAAAGCTTCCTCCAGAGGATCCATACAGCAACATGGAAGTATATTGTGGACAGAAGAAGAAACTCCATATCATGTCTGACAGAACATTATATTAAATATTTAGTTTGACTGTTGAAAACCTTATGCTTTGTTGTTTGTAATTGAATTTGTTTGCTGTTGTTTACGATAAAATTATTAATTCTGTTGCTACTGTTCTGAGGTCAAAGTTACTTTTACATGTTAAAGAATTGAAAAATTGTGAGATTTAATGCACTCCAATTCTAGCTTTCCCTAAAAATCGCGAAGTTAAAAACTCGCAAAATATGGCTCATGATTTTTCATGAAATTTAATTCTCGCGAAATTAAGTGAGAATAAGGTATCACTTTCTAGCTGAGTAAGATTTGCATGGTGGTTAAAAGAACTAAACGTCATCCTAATGTACATGTATGTCTGACAACATTAATCTGGTATGTGGCCTGGTTGGGCTATTGCTGGGCTCATAACTTGGACTTAGAATATTGGAAATACATTTACTTGAAACTTAGTTTCATTAACAAAAATTGAATGGAAATTAAATTATTGTAGAAAGTAGAACTGGTTTTTTAAAAAGGCTTATTTTAGATGA